GTGCAGGGGTTGTGTCAGAGAGGACAATCGGGATTGGTAGGGCCGCATGTAAGTACAGTGCAACCCCACCAGCCCTCCCTCGTTTTGAGTCAGCTTGAAAAATAGAGTAACCGTCTATCGAGACCTCTGCGTCAGAGACATCTGGTGTGAGCCAGTCTCTGTGGGTGCGATTATGGATGGTTGTTCAAGGCAAGCTGACTTTTTAACATCGCCGAGTTTGTTGAAAAGGCTGAGGCAGTTTGTGGACAAGCATTTCAACACTGTCTTTGCTGCCTCAGAGGGTGAGGAGCCGAAAGTTGAGCGACCAGAATGGTTAGCAGACTTAATAGTTGTGCAACGGTTTTGTGTCAGAGTCCAAGGCTCCAAGGGGGCCTCTGGGACGAAGTTGTCTGCTTCCAGTCTTTGTGTTTTCTGGGGGTGCTTCTCGCTTGCGAGGTTTTTTTCGTTCCGTGTGAGCTCGGTTTGCTCGAGCCTTTTGGCTTTGGGGGACGGAGTTTTTCACCATGGACGAAAATTTCGACGGATGCTGTTCGTAGCTCATTCAGCACCAAATTTCGGCGACCAGACATGCTGTTGATCAAAGGTTTGCTGCAAGCTTTCGCCTTCATGGATTCTTGGGTGTTTTGGCGCGGTTTGGCCAGGAAAGTGTCTCTATGTGGCCGTGGGCGCTGGGTGGCGGCACCAAGAAGTAATGATTTTGGTGGCGCTCCCAAGAGGCTCGTTTTCGCGGAGGAGTGCACCTTGGAGCCGGCCAGCGGTCTTCTAATCTGGCGAGTTTGATGTGGCTTGTTTGGCTGCAGTCGCTGTTCTTTCGTGTTTGTGTGAACACCCGATCTGCCAGCGGCCAGCGTGGCCAACTGAATGTACGAAGGAGTTTCCGGATGGTTGTAGTCATGTTCATGGCTATGGGTGTCGGGGCCCTGGGCGACGGTCGTGTCCACAAGCAGGGGCCGCTTTTGACGGACTGGAGCTGGAGATTGGCTTCGCTTCTTGTCCCCGCACATCTGACCCAGTCCAGTTCAGAGGCTGTGACTGTTGACGAATGCACGGCTGTAGCTGTGTCCTCTGATACGGAGATAAGCGTTGATAGCTCCACGTAGTTTGGGCGCTGCCTGCATGTGGGTTTTGCCTCCTCCATGGCGTCCCTGCCTTCGGTGTGCCATAGGCCTGTGGTGGTCGAATAGAAGCTCCTGCCCGGAGACGCAGCTGGTTTCGTCGGCCTGCTTTCGGGAGCCCAACTGGATATGACCACAATCGGCTTGGTCATGAGTTTGGGGTCGGCTGGGTTTGTGTCCAGCGGAGGCCCGTTTCATGCCTCCACCCCTGACTTGTTGTGACCGAGCTTTCGCGCGTCTCAAGGGCGATTCTCAGATAGACGCACGATCATTGGGTTGGCCTTTTGAATGCTGTCAGTCCGCTCCAAGATCTTTTGTACGTCAGAAGGGGAAGCAAGAGTGACGAGAAGTCCAAAAGTTCGCTTGCTTCCCTTCTGGCGTAACAATTCTGCGTAGTGCAATTGGCCGGGCTTGGTAAAGACATTCCTATGGCTTGATTGTGCCAGTTTCCTTCGCGAGGTTTTTCCGGAGAATGACCCTCACATTATCAATCTTCTTTCCCTTAGGCGCCTGTCCACCAGAGAGGCTGTCGCGGTCTTTATAGCCGCGTCAGAGAGTTGTAATACCTTCCTCGTAGCCATATGGCCAAGTATGGACATCGCGAGGTACTCGTTCAGCGAAGAAACTTCCTTGTCAACTTTCGTCCAGGTTGCTGCATTCTTAGCGTCTGAGTCCTCCAGTGCCTTTGAAAGACGCTATGATTTCGCGGCGAGTGTCCCGATCCAATCGGAACACTGACAGTGGTCTTTCTGAATCTGCACTGGGGATTGGGTACCGTTTTGGGGGGACTCTCTTCTTCGCTGCCGTATGCATTGCACCCTTGACGTAGAGGTAGCTGGCGCAGAAAGGGGTCAGGAGAGTTAGAAATTCGGCCTATCTGGTCGTCCTGTATAACCGTGCGACGGGCAGCCATTTCGCCCACATCTGTTGTGGTCTATCAATGGCTGCAGAGGGCCATCGGTATAAATTGATGTCATGTTTTGGACTAGATGTAAAATAGGAAGTGTGCACAGAAAATAAAGGGTTATCTGTCAAATGTTTTGTTAGAGTAATAAAATTCAAAAATTACTCGTGTGTACTCTGTGAAGAGACTGAACAAGGAAAAATTCTTTCACGAATTTGCACGAAGGAAAAACGAATCCGATTCCGAACGTACCACTTCAAGCCACGCGCCGGTGTCCGGCGAATGGAAACGGTTACTCGTTAACTACGATTTTCCAAGGTTATTACTTCTCAGGCTGTGTCCAATGCATTCTTCTGCATATTATCCGCATGGCTGATTTGTTTAAGTCCACTACTACCCTAATCGGGAAAGTACCTAATTAAATAAGGTATCACGGCTTGCGGGAATTACCTGCAATGTACTGAAGTCACACATAGTCCTGCAGCTGTAACAGTTCGTGGAACTTGCTACAGACTACAGTATACTCACTGACCCAAAATAATCGGGAGTATCACTCCCGAAAGAAAGTTTTCTCGTACCTTTTGCTCTGCTAGACGTATCCTGGTATTGTGTTTCTTATGGCATGTTCGCTGCTACACTTTCCTGGTTAGCCACAGTTGAGTGCACCGAAGTTGCGGTGCGGTTTGACGCCTGTTCCCTGAAGCATACGTGAGGGGTTTTTATATGTCTGGATATTCATTGCTTGCTTGGGGGGTGAACATGCCGCATGAAAAACCACGATGTGAAATCATATGGTGTCACATCGAAGCGTACTAGACGGCTTGAATATACATCGCTCAACGTTGCAGGCAAGTCACATGTTGCTTTTGATGCAGGTACTGGGATTTGGAACAGAACAGAGCGTGATGGAAACAGTGGATGCGGATGCACTCGTCAGATTGGGAAACCATAAAATATCAACCTAGAAGTATCAGGTTCTGTTTAATGGCGGCGGAGTTCTCCAATGTATCTTCAGGAAAATAACAGGTTTTCCGCACCCGACCCGGGGAGCTACCAGATAGTTTGTGGCTGGTGGTGTGCATGATGAGCTGCACATTATAAACCTGACGATTGCGTCCTACCACAACCAAATGATAGGTCCGCAACTCTGAGTTGAAGTCGCCCAAAGAATCTGTGGTTGCTTGCACTTTACAGCAGCGGGAACTTAGCTGACGAACTCGAATAACACGCGGTCAGAGGTTCACGCTGTCTGATCAACTGGCTTGGTATAGCTTGCGCCGATTATAGTGGACAGCCGAAAGAACCTATCTCATATGCACGACTAACGAGCGCATGTCCGTTTTGATCGGGAAAAATCAGTGGTCCGGCTTTGAGGGGATTTGAGGTTTTGTTTTATTGAGCGTTCCGAGTATCACATGGGTTTTGGGTCACCAACGTCTCGGTGCAAAGTTTTTACTGAGCCCCTGATGCATTGAAACAAGGGGAAAGTATAGGTTACTTTGTCGAAGTGTCACCAACGGACAGACCAGTGGCCGCTACATGCGTACGAAATTTTCGCTCTCATCTAAGACTGCGTTCTATGGCATCAGTACAGATAACATACCATCAGTTCATGGCTACCAGTTTACTCCTTCCTAGAATCGCAAATTCGAACGCACTCAGGCTTCCAGAATACATTGTCCTGGGATCCAGTGCTGCGGTTCAAGTGAACACTGTGCTTTCCTTGCGCACATTTCAGCAGGCACACCTGTGCGTATTTTGGATTGGCCGCGGGTGGGTAGAAAAATAAAAATTAATAACGTGCGAGCACACCTTGTGAACAAGTTGGAAAATCGTCACCACATCACGAGAAAGGTTCGCCTTCGCAAAAGTCGAAGCGAAATGATCAGCGATCCCTTGGATACCAATGGTCATTGTGAATGTTCAGCGGGTCACGATGAACAAAGCCAAATTCTGTGTCCGCAGGTCGCCAACCTATTTGGGACACGGTATCCCTGACATTGGGCACAAACTTTGATCCTTGGCGCAACGGTATTTGACCCTGAACAATCCACCACACTTACTTCCTCCGGGGTGTGTAGGAAATGCGTGATATGATGATATCTTGGCGAAGCCTGTGTTGCTGTGGTGATCTTTCTCATACTCCCACACGTGCATACGTCCGAATTCGAGAAGGCCAACCTGGAGGTAAGATATACCTTCTGCCTAAATAAAAACCAACTATCGGTCGCTTACTCATTGGTCAACACTTTCGGCCGTAGCTGTTGGTGTGCTGGCTGGTGAGGATCATACCAAATTGATTGGTTACAAACTGCTGCACTTCACACGGTGGTATCCGATACTTTATGAGTGCCCTGCGTGCGTCCAACCCCTCTTCGGCTAGCCGTCGATCTACAAAAATTTGATGGCACACAATCTTGATAACTTAATGATTGTGTTCAGGATAATAAGTGGTCATTGAGAGGTGGCTTTCGTGGCTCTTTAGTAAAAAATCAAGATGGAGCACCGGTGTTTCGAGTATTGTTTGCTGTTAGCGAATGTGTTCAAACTACTAGCCTCTTCTAAGTCCTTGACTTCCCGTAGTTCTCGCTGTCTGCCTGTGGCATTTGTGGTACATCCACCCGTAAAGCAAGACAGACTTGGTTTTTTTAACTGCAGCACGTAAAAATACCACACAATTGGCCCCCGTGTATTTGGTTGACTCCTTTTCAAACGCTGTGAAGAGCAAAAACTTGACAGTCATTTATTTTTTAAACAAACATCTTAAGTTTATCCTATAACTTGCTTGGTTGTGGTACCGCAAATGCGAAAATGCCCCCCAGCCCAGAGATAAGGATGAAAAACCAATTGAACCAAATCTCTAGTAATTGAGTTTCGCACGTATATCGGTATAACCAGGTTGACTGGAAATTCAAAATTTAGCACAGTGTGACATGTAGCAAGTATGTATTTGAATTGATATGTGTACGGCCCCTGGAATATTTAAACAAGGGATAATGAGTGGAGCAATGAACACAGCAGCAATCATATTCATCAAACAATTTCAAAAAATGTAAGACAGATTACGGTGCCTATTTGTTTGTGCATACACACAACATGGTGCAATATTTTCACACAAATCGTTTGTTCGATACGAAACGGATTTAAGCATCATCGCTTATGACGGATAAAGACTTGTGATTGCGGAATCTTACCTAGCAGCTGTAAACCTGACACATCAAGGAAAACTTTGCAACGCCTCAAATGCCATGGTTCGACGAAGTACGTCCTAGGTACTTTTGTAAGTGTCGTCAAATGGGCTGCCCATGTAAGTAGATTTCGCTTATCTGTGACTTGAAAGGGAGATCAAATTGAACCGGACTTGTTGCTTATGAACAAAACGAATAAATTCTTTGTCAAGATGCTGACAGAAGTCTGCTTCTACGGTACCGGTGGATCCAATTACTGCCCATCGTTTCTAGCCCCATAGGTACCGCGCGTTGTCATCAAATTGCTGTACGCTGAACTACCAAATCCCTGAATGTTTCTGGATCCCAAATATGTTTGACCTGTTTGACCTTTTCTGGGCCACAGTGAACCTTTGAGACCGAATGAAGCAACAAAGGTTGGTTAGTTTCTCTCTACTCAGACCCGTGGCTAATGCAACCTCGCTTTCCCTTGCCGCCTGAGTAGTTTTGGCTGCCGTAAAGAAGCAGCCACGATGCACTTGACTCAAAGGCTTCATCCGAACGGAGAGTGACCCAAAGTCACTGAGAACCTAGGAACCTGCCTTCCCGCAGAGGTTGATACTCCTGACATAACCGTCCATAGCTCGTTGTTTACGAAACATGCTTGCTTAGCAAAATCCTCTCTGACCGATGGAATATACATACACCCCAAAATACTTGCCGAGAAGAACTTTTTCCACCCCATTTTACCACAATGGAGCAACTGACGGAAGATATCCAGGTGGGGATGGCCATATTGAGGCGGTTCACCCCATTCA